AGGAGAGGTGACCCCTGCCCTAGGAGGGGTCCCACTAACAGGCCGGACCCCTCTGTGTCTGTCATTGTCCGAACCCCAAGGACAGAAGGGTCAATATGGGGGTGGAGCGGGGCGGGGGGGGCTGCTTCCCCTCCGGCTGCTCCCAAGTCCTGGTCTGGAATCGGGGATGGACTGGGGGGTGGGAGGAGTGGGGGTCTATGCAGGGCCTTGATGCTGAAGCTGACCCCAAATCAACCCCCCAGGTGGGTAGGTGGGGCGGGGGGGGGGGGGCGCCATCTAATTATAACAACAAAGTCCCGGCTGGGGATTAGCTCCCTCCACCCATAGCGAGTAGCTCGGGGGCGTATTAAAAATGCATCAGAGTTGCTATAGGCAAATAACTGCGCCGGCTGCATTAGCAAGCGGGGGGCAGACGAGGGGGGCGGCAGGCGGGTGGGGCGGCCCAGACGCTCCCTCGTCACCAGCCGGACTCTTTCCAAAGCACGGCTCCGTCATTCCTATTTCCAAAGCAGGAGGGGTGCAGGGGAGTCTGGCGTCCTTTGGAGGTGGGGACCCCCCCACCCCCCGATCCACCCCGCACACCCTTCCCCGCACTGAGCTCCGGCTTCTGCCCACGACCCCTGTCACCACAGCACGTCCCCCAGGTAGCAAGGTGGGAGGAAGCCACGTGGGGTGATCGCTTTGGGGGTGAGCAGGGCCCCCGGGAACGCAAAGGGGCTGGTCAGGACCAGGTTGGTGAGAACAGATGCTGGGCTGGAGTCTCACATGCAACCCTGCAGCTGCTTCTCCATCCCGACCCGCAGCCCCCCCCGGCCCTGGGCTCCCCCCCCATCCTGCTGCTGCCCCTCATCCCCTGCTATTCCAGTCTGAGCAGATGGCATCGGCTGAATGCCCAACAAATACCAGTTAGCTCCTGTGCTGTGCCTTTTAATCCCTAGATCTCAAAGATGGGGAAACTGAGGCACGAGGCTGGGGGGAAAAAAGACTTGCCACAGGTCACCCAGCAGGCCAGAGCAAGGAATCAAACCCAGGTCTCCCGAGCACCAGCTCGGGGTTCTGTCCATGGGGCCGCGCTGCCTCGGGGCTGCCCTACCATCTGCTCTCCCCCCATGGGCCCCAGGGAGCAGAAAACAGCCACTGGGGGCTGTCCCCCCACCCCCTCCTGGGCCCCTTCATGCTGCCAAAGGGGCAAGGGGGTGCTGTGTGTGTGTGTGTGTGTGTGTGTGTGTGAGAGGGAGTGGGGGGGAGGCGCTAGCTGTGTGCAATCCTCCATGGGTGTTGCATGCATGTGGAGGGAGGGAGGGTGTCTAGCCCTGGCTGTTAACACACATGCCGACATGTAACGTGCTAGCCCTGGGGCTCCCCGTGTGTGTCTGGGGGTGCACGGTGGACATGGCTGAGCATTCGTAGCTGAGGGGCGCGCGTCAGTCCCTGTCGAGAACTGCTGCACATGCCTGCGGGTGCGTGACCGGCGCGGCACGTCTGTTCCTGCGTGTCTGTGCACATGCCCGCATCAGCGCCGGGGAGGAAAGACCCCGTTTCTCTTCCCTCTGAGCCAGCCAGTCCCCCCCAACCTGGATCAGAGCCTCCTGGAGGGGAAAAGGCCTCGTATCCCACTGGATGGACGGCCGCACCCCCAGAGTGCCGGGAGAGACAATCGCATCCTGTGTTTTGGGATGCACGTGCCCCGGGACGCAGCCGCATCTCCAAGTGCCTGGCCGGGGCATGGGGACACGCGCAGATTGGCCGGAGCGGCACCAAGCTCCCGCAGTCCCCATCCCCGAGAGGCCAGCTGGGCCAGAGAAATGTCCCCGCCGCTCGGGGTGGGCTGAGCTGGGGCCAGCCGGGGAGCCGCGTGCGAGACCTCGGAGCCGGGTTCTGGGGTCGCATGTCTGGTGTTAGCAACATGGTCTCGTGCGTTCTGCACTGGTCTGGTTATGTTCCCAGCTCTGCGGTGAGACCGTGGGCAACTTCCCCATTCTGTGCCTCAGTTTCTCCTCCCACCCCTTGTCTCTGGAGCCTGGGAGCTCTTTGGAGCAAGGCCCGTCTCTCACAGTGTATCCGGGTGGCACAATGAGGGAGCCCCCCGATCCCTTGTCTAAAGCAGGCGTCCGGTCTCCCACCTGGTCGGAGAGGCTGGCGCAGGACCCCGTGAAGTCCTCCAGGTCGGATTTGGAGCCCCCGTCCCGGTCGTCGATTACCAGGTCGATGGGCATCTTCCCCTTCAGGCAGGTGATGTAGCGGTGGCAGAAATTGTCGCACAGGTCGTGTACCTGCTCCCCAAAAAGGAGAACCGTTAGGAGGCGCGAGCCCAAGCGGCTGGGTCAGAACCCCGTTGGGCTCGGTGCTTTCCAGCCGCTCCCAATCAGGCCTGCCCATCTGGCCCGGCGTCCCGTCTCCCCAGCCCTGAGCTGAGAGGAACCACCCGAGAGCCTGACTCTTTGGTGCTTTAGCCCGGTTGGCTGTGTTGGCCCTCGCGGAGAAGATCCAGACAAGGGACCGGCCAGCCGGGATCAGAACTCCGGGGCCACCTCTGGCGTCGGACAGCGACAGACGCCACCAGATCCTTCAGAGGAAGGAGGAGAACCCCACAGCAGCAAACAGGGGGTAAGATCCCCCCCCGTGTTAGCTCTGCTCCTGAATCCTCATCCTCAGAGTTCAGCTAGACCTCTGAAGTAGGAGAGGGTGGGTGTTTTGGTGTTTGTTAGGTGCTCGGTGCTCGGCCCTGTCCGGTATTTGTCAGGAGCCCCCGGCGTGCTAGGGGCTGTACAAACACTGAGGGGAAAAGACAGGCGGTGGAGACAGACAGACGTTGGGCAGGGCCGGGCAGGTACGATGGGCAGGGAGGGCTGTGCATGCGTGATGGGCGGAGGGTGTCTCTGCAGAGCCGGGCACAATGGGAACCCTTGGGGGGCGGGGCTGTCGTCTAGGCATTACCATAATACACCTCCTAGTGAGAAGACCGGAGCCCCGTCTGCCCTAGGCCAGGACCCCTCCCAGTGTATTTGCTGCGGGCGCTGTGGGTCCCTCCTCTGCCTTTCCTCTCTCCGGGCCTTCAGCTCTGAAAAGCCCCAGCTCCCGGCTTCCCTTTTCTTCCCTGCCCTTGGCAGAAGCACTTCGCCGACCCCCCCAACCCCCTTTTATCAGCTCCCAGCAGGCGCCCGCTGTGGTGCTCAAAGGGTTAATTACCCCATTAACAAGGGGATTATCGAGTTAAAAACCGTGAGGGCGATTGTAGCTGTAATGAGCTCATTACCCCGGCCTGCCGCTTGGCCGGGGCCCTGGGACCCCCCCTCATCCCTCCCCCTTCGCGATTGCATCATGCCTGGAATTGACCAGACACGCCGCCCCGGGGAGGGGAACGGGCCAGATCCGCCCCCTCCGCGCCAGGCAGGGATTTGGCCCACGGACCCCCACGGAGCCCCGGCTGGTCGGCACGCGCTGGAGAATCCGGCCTGCCGATTTAAACCCCACCTCCTGCCCCCCGGTGAACCGATCTCTCTACAGCCGGCTGGGCTAAGCTAGCCGCACACAACGGACTCCCGTTTACGCCAGGGAAAGGGGCGGAGGGTCTGGCTCGCTAACCTCTCAATGTGTGACGTCCATGGGGCCCGATTCTGATCTCACTCCCCGGGTAAATCGGCCCAGAGCCGGGCGCCGATTTGGAATTCGGCCCTTGGAATAACTCCACTGACTTGCGGGATTCCAAGTCCTGATTTATTCCAGTTTAACTAAGATCAGAATCTGACCCTCTAGCCGATTATTACCACCCTATGTTAAATGGATTTCAAACCGTTGCAATGGCGTGCGTATTAGTGGTCAGAACTGGTGCAATTAGATGTTGACGGGGCAAGATTTCTAATTCAGACGGGCCCTTAAACTGCTGGAGAAGAGAACAGACAAATTCTGCCTGATGCCAGCAGAATTCAGCTGTCATCCACCCTCCTGGGACGGTCTCCTCCCACAACACCCCACCTCTCTGAAGCATAGTTTATCCCGGGGCAAAATCTGAGTGCAGACGAGGCTTTAGACATCCTAGCGTTTCACTTGCACGAGACACGCTGCCCAAATGCAAAGTTTATCCCGATCTCCACGGGTGAGAGCGTCAAGAAACTTCTCCCGGCTTCTCTGTAAATCCAAACCAGCCGTTCGTAGGGGCATCATTTGCTTATCCCCTGGATGGGTCACTTTGAAAGCGTTTGGTCTAACTCCAAGCCTCGTCTGTATTTTGTTCAGACTCCAACTCCAATCCTCTGGCCTTGATTTTAAAGGAGCTATGTTGATTTACGCTAGGGGAAGGTCTGCCCGTGGTGGGGTTTTTTTGTTTTTTGTTTTAAATAAAAAGCTAACCCTCCACATGTTTCTTTAACAGCACGGAGCTGCGGCAGAGGCCTGTACTACCCTGGTTTCGTTACTTTCCCCATGACGCGTGCTACACGGGGCTTTGGCTACCGGAGACTTGAAGTATTGTCAGAACTAGTTGCAGCTACCGTGAATTAACAGAGTCTATTTTACAAAGCAGCCCTACCGAGGTAGGGTGGCTCAGTGGGTGGGGCCCTCGCCTGGGTCTCGGGAGGATCTAACCTGTACGTTTCTCTGTGCCTCAGTTCCACCTCTGTGATAACAGCACCACTCTATCTCCCCAGGGAGGGTAAATACACTGAAGATTGGGAGTGCCCAGAGGCTATGGTGATGGGCACCACAGACAGATTGATTGCTTTACAAAAAATTGGAGCCATTCCATGTGGCTTGGAATCAGGTCCTTTACCATCACGTCTACTGGAACTCTGCCACTGAATGTACTAATTAGCTCTCACTATGGGTCCGGTCCACTGAGGGGTATTGACGTTAAAGGCCTACCTAGGTGCTTAAAGATAAGCGAGGCCCTTAAGCCCGAGCATACTGCCAAGCAGGTGTTTAATTCTAGCCTTATTCTGCAAAGCATAAATCCAAGTTCAAGGGGATCTGGACTGGGTCTGTCCTGTTTAAGTCCCCTGCCCTACAAACACACATGCGTGGGAGTCACTTTATTCACCCGAGCAGCATGTCTATTGTAAATCAGTAATTATTATTCATAGTACCGGAGCGTCTAGCAGCTACAGCTCTCCCAATAATCAATTTTTTGGGGGGGAGGGGGGCTTGCTGGCAGTTCAAAATTTAAAAAAATTGTTTTGTGTTGACCTGAAAACAAAATTTCTTGGAACTTTTAGCGAATCTAAAAGCTTAAAAAAAAAAAAACCCAAGCCAATTTGTTTTGATTTTAGACGTTTTAAAACTAAAACTAAATCAAAGGAAAGGAAAATTCCACCAGAAATGTGGTTCCAACCCAAACAATCAAAACTCGCATCCAAAAATGTCAAATTGAAGCACTGATTTGGGGTTTTTTTTGTTTGTTTTGTTTTTTAGAATTTTTCTTTTTTTCCAACCTCAACAACTCTCAGAAATTGCCCGGCCTTCGCGAAATGTTCCAAGCCTGCTTCTTTTGGAGAACAAACTTTCGGCTGCAAACATTTGCTCAGTTCTAGCTAGGATCCCCAGTCTGGGATCAGGGCTGCGTTGTGCCGGGCTGTGGGCGCTGTACGTTTTTATGACTATTAGGCGTGTTACGGGAGCCCTGGGGAGCACCGCGGCCCCGCCTCCACCATGCATCAGAACCCCATTGCACCAGGAGCTGTACAAATGTAGAACAAAACGAGAGTCCCTGCTTAGAGCTGGGCAAAAATAAAGGACGGCAAATAGTCAATTTGGGTCGAATGCAGGGAATAGTTTTATCAGGGGAAAAATAAAATTTGGAAAAAGCTGAAACGGTTTGTTTAAGATTTGGCCAAAACATGGAATTTATACCCTTTGTTTTAACACACGTCCATTTATTTTCTCCTCTCTCTCAGGCCTGGCCTCTACTCTGAACCTGCCCCCTTCCCCCCGTCTTGCCAGATGAAAAATTAAACCTTCGCGGGCTGTTGTACCAGTGAACCAGGATAATAATCCCGAAGCCGAAATTCAGCCCCACGTGGGTTTAAAACCGTTTTATTTGGCCACTTATCAGCTGCACGTGGGGCTTAGTGACGGGCCATCCAGCTTTCACCACGGCAAGCAGCACGGCTTGGGTTGAAAACATCAATTAGAAGGGGTTTGGCTTTGGCGGGACTTTCTCCTTGCTCAGATGATTTGGTTGGAGGTTCATTTCTGCTGTCGTCGCATGAAACCTCAGATCCATCATCAAAGCAGCTGCGAACGGGCGAAAAAAGTTGCACCGTATTTAACTCAATGTTACTGGTGATGTTTGCAATGGCTCCAATTGGAGGGGAAAAAAGAAAAGAAAAACCATATGGCCAGAGTATAGATTGGCTGCAGCTCTGCCGGGGTCACTGGGGCCAGCTCCCCCACTGGTGTAAAATTGTGTGGCTCCATTGAAGTCTATGGGCCCAATTCCCCCCTGATGTAAACTGGCAGAACTCCCTTAAAATCAAGGGGACCAATCTCTAGCTGGTGCAAACCACCACTGCTCTATTTGAAACCAATGGCGCTGGGCCCGTTTGGATCAGCTGAGGGGCTGGCCGATAAGAGTTCCTTTTGCTTTTTAATAAAAAACGGTTACAAATAATGACCCCCCAACCCTGCGCTGGTGAGGGGGAAGGGAGGAAAACGTGTCGATTTACCTTTTCTAATTCCAAGAGATGGAATCGCAGCACCTGGATGGATTGAATCATCTGTAACGAGAACACAAAGGGAAATCCGTCTGAGGCAGCTTTATCTGCATCTCCGATAAGGGGCCGGAGCGGCGGAAAGGGGCCGGCGCATAAACCAAACTCATGGAGCTGCGGCCCCAGGTTTATTTCATTCGCTGGCTGGATTATACCCACATAGTCACTTGGACGGAGCCTTTACTTTTCCACGTGTCTCTCCCCGGCCCTAACACGTCTGCTTCTCCGCGGCTCGGGGCACAGCACACGCCCGTGTGATGCGAGTGAGACTCATTTGGCTGCCGTGTAAGCGTCCAAAGCGACAGAGAACGAGGCCTAATCAATCCGTTCCATGGGAGAGTCTGAAAAGCCTTTCTAAGGGCCGATTCCGTTGGTGCGACGCCAGTGGGCCAGACCCTGCGCCGCCGTTACTCTGCGTCGCTTCAAAGAGCTGAGCTGGTGACTAAAGCCTGGCTTTTGAAAGGCCGCAGCGCCTCCGTCGCATTTCCAAGACGGATTTAGCAGCCTCCGTCCCCTTTGAAAACGACCTGGCCGTTGCAACGCGGAGCGCAGCAACGCCAACGCCCCTTTAAAAATCTGGGCCTTCATTCTTAGATTTAGGAAATGAATCAATTCCCCTGCATGCAACATCTTTAGCCCCGATCCTGCTAAGACTTCACGCATGTGCTTAACTTTGGGTGCATTGAATAAGTCCCAGTACAAGTCCTTATTGAGGAAAGCACTTAAACTCAGCTTGGAGTACGTGCTTCCGTCTCTCGGGTCCATGCTGAAAGGCCCGGGCCAAACAGGAATGCAAGCTTGCATGGACGCTGAGCGGAAGCAGCTCACTCCCGGGGCATAGCTTTGCAGAACTGGAGCCACATTTAAATGAAGACGAGAAGCTGCCAACGGGGAAAACGAAAGAAAAACAACCCCCAGCCAATCGGACCAGCAGAAAAGCCATTTAAAAAAAAAAAGATTATTTGCATTGTACACGGAATTATAGATTTATTTATTTTTTTAAGTTTCTTACCAAATTATCCAGCTCGGGATTGGAAGAAAATAAAGGTTTTTCTGTCCTAATCTAGAAAGAGAAAGACATGGACAAGCCAGCACAAATAAAACACAGAGAGGCAAAAGGTTAGCACGATTAACAAAAATCTGGTTTTCTCATTTCCCCAAAACATAAAAAGAGAGCGAGAGAAAGAAATCTCTCTTTCCCCAGAGCTTCCGTGACATCCCCACATGCGTATATTTCACTCTCGGCTCTGCCGTGTCTATGTATTTTAAAATATTCCCACCCCTGCTGCGGCCCAGCCCCTCCTATGCAAGATCAGATTTCACCCCGTCTCCTTTTTAAAAGTCCTTCCAAGCAAGCGTTGCTCTCTCTCTCTATATATATCTATCTATAATTTTTAAGCACGACGCAGCCTCATGTACGCTGTCGGCCTGGCCAGGGCATGTCTATAAACGCAGGATCAACACCAGGGTTTTTTGTTTGGTTTGGTTTTGTTTTTTTGGCAATGATTAAGATAGCAGCTGGGCCTGATTTGCCAAGTCTGATTCAGCGCTGGGTCTTCCAAGTAGTTCCCTGAATCGAGCCAATCAATCAGTCGATTTTACCCAGGGGTAACGCTAGAGCGAGTCGGGCCCCAGCACTGGCACGGCTTCCCCTGCGTTCCTCTGGCCTTAGGTGTCTCCTGCTTTGCCCCCCGCCGGCTCCAGACACTGACCTGTTTGGCGAAGACGGCTATGTCCTCGTTGAAGGAATCGGAGGAGCAGACGTCCCCACCGGGGTAAGAGCCCGAGGTATCCCTGGGGGAGCAGGTCGCCAGCTCACACTTCTCAAAGACCAGGGCCAGCAAGGGGAACAAGGGGTGCCTACCGCACAAAGGCCAGGTTAGAGCCGGACGCTAGGGTGACCAGATGTCCCGATTTTATAGGGACAATCCCCATATTTGGGTCTTTTTCTTATATAGGCTCCTATTACCCCCCACCCCCTGTCCCAATTTTTCACCCTTGCTGTCTGGTCACTCTACAGGACACACAGGGTGCAAGGCACACGCATTATGCAATCCAGACACCCTGCCGATCAGCGCCGGAACAAGGTTAGAGAAGGCCCTGGGGCAAGAATACATTAGCCCGTGTCGGCCCACCAGCCGCATCCGCCCCACTCACGGAGGGAGAGGTCCCAAAATCTGCCCCTCCCCCCTAAAATCTACTGTTCTATCGGTGGAGCGGCCTCTGCTGGCTGGGGCCCCATAACGTCCCGGGTCCTGACACGACTATCCACTCGCACCAACGGATTGCACACACGGGCACAAACGCCACGCGATCCGTGCAGACGCACGCACGACGCGGCGCACGCCCCGCATCGATGCCATGCAAATGTATACCCAGCCCATGTGTAACACACACACACACAGATCGTGTGCAATACGCATACACCGCCTGCACCCCTCTGCACAAATATAAACACACACCCGCACACGTAGTCATTCATGCTCACGGATCCATTCTGTGTGGTGCACAAACAAAACTGTACACACACCCATGTTATAAAGCACCTACGCCCGGTTGCACGCAGTGTCATTTGTAGCCGTGTCTGTCTCAGGATATTAGAGAGACAAGGTGGGGGAGGTAATATCTTTTATCGGACCAACTTCTGTTGGAGAGAGGGACGAGCTTTCCAGCTTACACAGAGCTCTTCCTCGGGTCTGGGAAAGGTATTCAGAGCTCCCGCCCACCCCTTGTTGTCCTAGGACCGCAGAGGTGTCAATGGGCCACGCTCTACCTTGAGCGCTAACTACTTCCACTAACCAATCTGGTCCACCTGGCTGTGACGCTCGGAGGACCTTTCCCAGCCCTGAAGAGAGCTCGTGTCTCTCATCCACAGAAGTTGGTTCAATAAAAGATATTCACTCCCCGGCCTTGTCTCTCTAACCCACCCAACGTGTAATATCCGCAGTGGTCATTGCCGAGCATCACGTACAAGCTTCCGGCGTGCACAAGGTAGGACACACGCTGGGTAATAAAAGAGGCTGTCGCACAGAACATTGCACAATGTGCAACACACGTGCTATACACTGTCTACACACAAGTGTAGACGCACCTACAATGTATCACGGAGACGGAGTAGAATCTACACGAACCAACTGCGGTTCACATGCCCGTGGGGTGCAATAGATTCTCTCCGCAACATATTGTGCAGAAGTGAGCAAACAAAGGCTATGCATGCTAACAGTGTATGTGACTGTTACACAAGTGCACCCACTCAAAGGAGAGTTATACACCAGGGGGTCTCAAACTGGGGCTCGGGACCCCTCAGGGGGTGGCGAGGTTATTACATGGGGGGTTGCAAGCTGTCAACCTCCAGCCCAAACCCCGCTTGCCTCCAGCATTTATAATGGTGTTAAATATATAAAAAAGTGTGTTTAATTTATTGGGGGGGGTTGCACTCAGAGGCTCGCCATGTGAAAGGGGTCACCAGTAAAAAAGTTTGAGACCCACTGCTCTACACAGACTGGAACGGCATTAGTGTATATACACACTCAGAGCAAATATGCAAACAGAGGACCACAACCCATGGGTGTAGACAGATATAGACAGACACAGGGCATATCATTAGGCTGGGCAAAATTAGATTTGTGTTTTTTAATAATTTCGAGGTTTATTTTTAAGCATTTTTCCCCATTTTTATTTATTTTAAATTGTCACCGTTGTGGGAACTGGGGGAGGGGGGGGGGGCGTCCGGCAATCACTATTTGATGGCAGTCGACACTGAGATTCAAAGCGCTTTATAATCGTGAAAACGCAAACCGTCCATCCCGTGTCAAAAGAGCCAAAGTAAAGACACTCTAGGCAGTTCGCAAGCTGCATTTTTACTTTGCTTAGCTGTAAATTTCAGTTTTTAATCGATGGCAATATTTTGGTGGTGCACACGGTCCGATCAACATTTTCTGATGAAATATCTAATCCTTCCAAGCCTACATAAAGCACACATAGTGCGTGAATATTGCATATAGTACATGTAGCCCTGGGGTAGGAATTGTATGTACATAATACACAGAGTAACGTCACTGATGGCTACAGACACAGTGCGCATAATACACCAGACAGCATTAGTACTGTGTGTGTAGATGCACATATATTACACACAGGCACAAGGGAGAGCATTATTAGCGTGTATACACACAGCGTATATAAGATACACACACATTAGCGGAGCTGGGGGAAGAACGGATTTTTCTCAGTTCCTGGGCAGCGTTTAAGAGTGTGTTCGGGAGGGAATCATTTAGAGCCAAAGGTTTTGTTGACATCAAATTGAAACGTTGTTCTGACCATTTTAAAACCGTTTGGGGAATTTAAAAAGAAAATTGAAGGAAATTTTGAAAGGAAAAGTCGTTGGAAACCGCAAAATACAAAACATTTTGGTCTGGAAAATGTCAAACGCACAAGGGGGAACGTTATGAGGGTGTATACACACGGCTAGGGGATGACCTCGTGCATGTGCCCACACACAGAGTGTGTATAATACATACGGGATGACATTTAAAGAGTGTACAGACTCACACACTCTTTGCACACTACACATGCATAGACAGAATTTTAACCTGTGTGCATCATACGGACACGCACATCCCTTAGCCGTGCGATATGCCTGGTGCTACTGGACAAAGGCACCCGGGTTTCTTTCCTTGATGTGCCATCGCCCATTAGTGTAGTTGGACGGTGGTACCTTTCTGCACCAGAACCGACACCACTTCAGATAGAGGGGACACTGGATTGGGCTGGCAACATTGACTGCTGGCTGGCCTTTCTTGGTACCATTCTCTTAAGGGGAGCAAGGTCCAGCCCTAGGGGGAGAAGGGGGCTCAGAGGAGGTGGAGGGAAGGGGTGGTTTGCTCTCTCCATTACGCTGGGTTCGCACAGCACCAGTTTCTATTGGTCCCTGGGCAACCACCATAATACGCCTGATACATTAATAATCAACATGCATGTGAGAAGCAGGGAGCAGGAGACTGGGAGCATGAACCGGAGGGTTAGGGGAAGGGGGAAAGCACAGAAAGAAGGAAAGAAAATTAGAGGAGAAAGGGAAGGAGAAAAAGAGAAGACAGAGAAATGCTGGGCAGAGGGAGAGGGGGGAATATACCAAGTACATAAAACATACATACTATACACACACTCCCGCTCTATAATATGGATGCACTTTGCATAGTACAGGAAGGTTCGTAATTCACAGGTATGCATATCAACATACCTCTTCGATCTATACACACCCTGATACCGAGTGCCTCCACATTGCACAGGACAGAAAGGCCGAGAACATGTTCATGGTGTATATTTCTACAGAGAAAATACTGTGTACGGCGAGTGCAAATATCATATGTAAATAGCTTATGTGCCCGGGAATATTTCTATTCAATATCTAATGTTATAGCAATATTACACACAGCTGTGTGGATAGGGGGTTGTGCGTCTAGATGCACTGCAGACTATAAAACTGATGCGTAAGCGTCACATAAGATACATACAAACACTGGGTGTGAGGATATCAGCATTGTACACTACAGTGTGTTTAAACGCACAAACACATATATTGACGTGCCATGACGTAGGCTCACAAAACTGACATACAAACAGACTGATGGTGAGAATATCTTTTATAATATGTTTGTGTGTGTTGGCATTATACCCTGCTGTGCGTTTCTGCACACATACACACCCGCCCAGCAGCATATAACATCGACCCACAAAACACATGCTAAAAGATCTACTCACGCTCAGGTCTATACAATGCAACACCTATTCCCACAGTGGGTAGTATTAATATGCATGGAAGATACCAATTCAGCTTGGACTCCTCCGTTGAATATGATTCCAGATACACTACACAAACTGCAGCCCTATGGTACGCGCTGCGTGTGTGCGGACATGTACGCGCACTGACAGCGGCCCAGATTTATGCAGCCACGGCCGGATCCTCAGGTGGTGTAGACTGACCAGTGGCCGTTAACTTCCCTGCAGCTACCCCATCGGAGGACCGGAGGACCATGCCACGAAGTTTCGTTTATGTTTAGATTTAAAACCGCCACACAACACAGCCACCATCCATATGTTGAAATGTGGAGTAAAGACATGCATACAAAGGCAGTGTCCTGTACACTGTGTGTATCCATGTACACACACACACAAGTCCGTATATACAGGCACAATGTACTACTGATGTGCGTACACACACGCAGAGCGCATAGATCGTTTATACACTAGAGACAACGGCTACTTATGCAGCAGTTACACGGGTGCAGCAGGAGGGTAAAGAGGGCGTAAAAACACTACCATTGGGCAAGTCTTTGCACTCACTTCACACTCACACAAACACACAAGGCCGCGGGGAACAGGGATTTGGGCCTAGAGAATGTCTGCCTGTCCAAACATACAGATACATTGTGCAACACTAATATACGTGTGTGTGTATGTGTGTGTGTATGTGTGTGTGTA